GCATAGCACACGCAATACAGATGGATGGATGGAGGTATGGGGAGCTTTGGGGGGGATTTACAGATGAAATTGGAGCTACGGCGTTTGCAGAGCAGTTAGTAGCTGTCAAGACGAGGTACAAGGAGGTGGAGACAATTAGCACGTTGGTGTTTGAAGACTTCACCGCCTGCTCCAGGGGATCCTGTTGGGGGGAAGAGGGATTTGGACACAGTGGGGAGGCATCAAAATTCATGGGTCTGTCCATCTGCTACCCGAAATAGCTGCGCTGGGCATGAAAAATAAAAACAAACCACTGCTTTGTGTTCAAAGCCCCCTTTTCGCCTGCTTTAATTTGACCAACGCCATTTATTCTTCTGCTTAACAAGGCCACATACTTGTGCCTGGTGAGAAATAAGCCCAGGGCAGATTTTAGCTGGCAGAACTCAGCTGGAGCACCAGCAACTGGGCTTAAATCAAGAATTAATAATAATTAAAAACAATGCTGCTTTTGGGTGGCAACGAGGCAGGGGAAAGCTTGCACCCCAAAAGCATCCCTCTGCCAAAAGCGGGGTGCAGGGATGCTCGAGCCCCAGGTTGGGCTGGCTCTGATGGAGGTGGGCAGCAGCTTCATCCCGGGAAAACCAAGCACCGGCTTTGCTCCCCGCTTGCTCCTGAAAACAGGATGGAGAGGGTGGGTGGGGTGTGGAGGGGTGACAGCACAAAGCATTTCTGTGCAGCACACCCCCACAGGACCGGCATCGTGCCCCCGCGGGAGCGGCATCGCCCCGCCGCTGCCACTGCTCCGCAGACGGACGCGGTCCAGCCACCCACGGTCCTGGCCACCCTGGGGGGGGGCCAACCCGCCCGGCTGGGGGGAGCCTGGCAATGATGGATACGGGAGCTATGACCACCCAAAACCCCCGTTTTAGGGGATGGCGCTGCAAATGGTGCTGAAACCTGGAAGATGAGGAGGAGAAGAAAGGTCTCGTGGGGCATCCAGGGAGCAGGCAGGGTGGGAGTGCCGGGGTCTTGCCGGTTTCTGGGGAGGGGAGGGAGGCAGTGGGCAGCAAGAGGGCAGGGTTAGGGATCAGACGTACTCCCGAGTCGTCGAAGGCTGCGGCTGTCGGTAGTACTGCTGTCCTCGCCGCTCTTTGGCGGGGCAGGAGCAGCACAGGAGGGACCCCCCCAGCACGGTGAGGCTGGCGGCCCCCCAGCCGACGAAGAGAGCCGAGCCGAATTCGTACCTGCGGGGAGAGAGAGGGGAGCACTGGGGAGGGGGGGAGCTGGAAAAGGCAGAAGTGCAAACTGAGGTGGGCACAAGGATGCTCGAAGCCCTGACGAGGCTACGGGCGACGTTGAGGCAGATATTGGTTCTTCTTCTCTCTGGCCACCCCCATCTTTTACGCCGGCCGAATCCGGCGACTAGGTTTCCCCGTGCTTTAATCCTCCCTTGGACTGAAACCCCACGTGAGCGCTTCTACTCTGTCCCAGTGCAAAGTCGGCGCTGGTACTGACTAAAGCTTTAGCATCGGGGAGACCTTCAGCACCATGGCAGCTGTGGGGTGGTACAGGTCCCACCCTGCGTGGGACATCTGCCTACGACCCAGCGCGTTGCCAAAACTGGAAAGGGAAGGTCCTACAGGAAGCGCAGGAACAAGATGGGATTCAGATAAAGAGCATCCCCTGAGCCGGGCTCTTACCTGGCGTTGATGGGGACGGTGCTCTCTTTGAAGAATTCGTAGGTGACCTGTGTTGCATACAGGGACACGGCAGCCAGTGTGCACAGACCTGGACATGGAATCGCAGAATGGTTTGGGTTGGAAGGGACCTTTAAAGGTCATCTAGTCCAATCGCCCTGCAATGAGCAGGGACATCTTCAACTAGACATCAAACCTTGAACATCAACAACACCCAGCCCATCGCCAAACCTCTCCCCTTCCTCCATCAAACAGCTTTTAAAAGGTGTTTGAGGTCTTCTGCATCAGAGAGGTGCAAAGGCTGGAGCTGCCTTACCGGAGAGGACGAAGAGGATGCCTCCAGCAACAGCGATGCGGCTCTTGGTAACGGGATCCTCTTCGCCAACTTTGGTGCATTTCATGCCCACCACGCTCACAATGATGCCGAAGAAGCCCAGGAGGAGAGAAATCACCATGAGAGCCCGGGAGGTCTGGATGTGAACTGTAAGCGGGGGCAGGGGGGAGAAAAGCTGCTCGCCAGCATGTGCTTTCGGCCACAGCCGGACTCCGAAAGCAAGGTCACCTCGTCCCACGCCGGGGATGAACCTGTCCTTAACCCTGTCCTTGCTGTGTGGCTCCCGCGTCACCCCTTCCCCAGCCTGGGAGACCTCAGCTCAGCTCAGGGCACCGCTCCCAATGTCTTCCCTGACCTTCCTCCCTGCCACGCTCACCCTCGCCATGATTTTCTGGGCTGGGAAACACCTTGCCCACAGCGGCACCACAGTCCCCAAATGCCACAAGGGTGATGCACAGCCCTGGGGCTTGTGATGTCCCCATGGGGCACCGTCAGTCCCCAAATGTGATGCCCACCCTGGAGCTCAGACCCACAGGGGCCGGGGTGGGGGGGTCTCAGACACACAAAGGGGCTCAAACCCATGGAGACAAGAGGGGCTTAGACCTGGGGGGGTGGGTGTCAGGGGCCAAGAGGGGCTCAGACCCACTGGGTGGAAGGGGAAGGCTTGGACCCACATTGTGGTGCAGATCAGTGGAGGGGTGAAGAGGTCTCAGACCCTTCTGAGGGGGGCTCAGACCCATGGCGGGGGGGTTGCACAAGAGGGCTCAGACCTACAGAGGACTCAGACCACTGGTGGGGCCAGGGAAGCTCGGACCCTCAGGGGCACTCAGACGTGGCGAGGGTACAGATCTGTTGGGGGGGTTCAAACCCACAGAGGGGCTCAGACCCACGGGAGGCTGACTCCAACCCACAGAGGGGCTCAGACCCTTATCAGGGAAGGGGTCAAACCCACAGAGGGGCTTGGACACATATGGGGGTGTCAAACCCATAAGATGGGCTCAGACCCATAAGGGGGGGGGTCAAACCCATAAGAGGGGCTCAGACCCATACGGGGGGATGTCAAACCCTCAGAGGGGCTCAGACCCCTACGGGGGGCTGTCAAGCCTGTAAGAGGGGCTCATACTCATACAGCGGCTTCAAACCGAGAGAGGGGCTCAGACCTGCAGGGGGGCACGGGCAGTTCGGGCACACAGGGGAGCTCAGCCCCACGGAGGGGAGTGTCTCTACCCCACGGAAAGAAGCGAGGCTCATCCCCCCGGTCCCTTCCCCCCCCCCATCCCATCCTCCCCGCCCCGTACCCACCGTCGAGGGAGAGGAGCGAGTCGTGGAGGCGGCACTGGACCTGCCCGGTGCTCTGGGCTGCGCAGCTCATCCACAGCCCCTCGTGAAGCCCCACGGCCGTAATGATGGCGTCCCCGGCGTACGAGCTCTGCCTCCACTGCGGCAGCACGGCCGCCGCCAGCGCCGCCACCCACCCGCCCA